CTTTCCCCCCCCCCCCCCGGTGTTTGTGTGCTCGGGCGCCCCCCCCCAGGTCTTGCAGAAGGACCCGCGCCTCCTTTATTCGGAACCGTCGGAAGGGGACGCGAAACGGACGCTTGGGTTTGGGAGGAACTTCGTGGGTGTTTCGGGGTCTCGGAGCAACGGGGGGGGGAGCGGGGGGCTTTGCAATGCAAATGCACGTGCAGCGCAGAGCCCAGCGCGTGTCGATCCGGACTCCCGCCCCCCCCGTTCACAATGTTCCCTCTAAGCTGTGGAGTCTTGTGAGCAAAAATTCAACTTTGTGAGCTACTGGCATTAAAGTGGTGAGCGAGTGATCTGGCTACTGCATAAATTAGTTGGCTCTGGGGCCATCCTTCCTGAGCTAAGACAAAAATGTGTGAGCCGGAGGCTAAAAGCCTGTGAGCTAGCTCACACTGACTCAGCTTAGAGGGAACATTGGTCCTGATCTGTCCAAAGCAGCAGCAGCAGTGAATATTATCTTGCTGCGCGTTTCCTTTCTTTGCGTAGAGGCGCCTGGGCATTTGCATAGCGAGGGCGGAGACGCCGCGGATGTTCGAGGAACGCGCAGCTGGCCGGTCCGCAGCGGGGCGACTCGGGTGGACTCGTTTGACTCTCGCTTCCCACGGCCCGTGTCGGCGAAGCGGCTTGCGAGAAAGACGAGGCGGCGCCGGGCTCCTTTCTATTGGCCGCTGCCTCTCGTGAGCGTGTCTTGTGGTCCGCCGCCTCCCATATGGAGCTGGTTCACACGTGCGGACTCGCAGTGTTCCCTCTAAGCTGAGTGAGTGTGAGCTAGCTCACAGTTTTTTACCCTCCAGCTCACAGATTTTTTGTCTTCGCTCAGGAAGGAGGGCTTCAGAGCAGACTAATTCATGCAGCAGCCAGATCGCTCGCTCACAACTTTAATGCCAGGAGCTCACCAAGTAGAATTTTTGCTCACAAGACTCCACAGCTTAGAGGGAACATTGCCTGTGAGGTAGGTGGGGCTGAGAGAGCTCTCTTGAGAACTGCCCTTGAGAGAACAGCTCTTATCAGAGCTACGGCTTGCCCAAGGTCATCCAGCGAGGTGCAAGTGGAGGAGTGGGGAATCAAACCCGGTTGTCCCAGATTAGAGTCTGCACAGTTAATGCCAGGAGCTCACAAATGTAGAATTTTTGCTCACAGGATTCCACAGCTTAGAGGGAGCCTTGGTGCGGAGGCGCCCTTCGCTCTCTTCAGCGCGTGGTGGCTTCGCGGTGGAACGTGTGAACGGTGTCGATGGCGTTGGGGTTGGCTAGTGATCTATCTCCGTCCGCGGGGCTTGACCTGCGGTCGCTCTTGTGCCTACAGGTCATGGCTTGGTGATGGCGATGACCAGGGGCGGGTGAAGGCTCACTGGCAGTGTTCCCTCTAAGCTGAGTCAGTGTGAGCCAGCTCACAGTTTTTTAGCCTCCAGCTCACACGCTTTTGTCTTAGCTCAGGAAGGAGGGCTCCAGAGCACATTAATTGATGCAGCAGCCAAATTGCTCGCTCACAACTTGAATGCCAGGAGCTCACAAAGTAGAATTTTTGCTCACAAGACTCAACAGCTTAGAGGGAACATTGCTCCAGAGCAAACTAAGTTATGCAGTAGCCAAATTGCTTGCTCACAA